TCTTCTTTGAGATGAGGACCAAACTTCTTGGGAAATCTGATAAGAGCTAGTGACCCACCATCCAGAAAAGAAGTGCACACACATTATATTTGCAAAATTTTATATGCAGTTTTAGGAGGCTCCAGAATCCCTTGCCAATCTAGAGCCTTGTAAATTTTAGAACCCTAGAAGTATATATATATAGTAGTTGTAACTATGATAATGAATGGAAGTGCAGCCAGTGTAGAGTGAAAAGAAGAACCAAGGACAGAGCTCTGGGGATTAAAATGATTTAAATGACACTGGAAGAATAGGAGATATGAAGTAGGGGAATATTGTTTCTGAAAGAAGGCTACATTTTACTGACTTTCATTTAGCATAGTTGTCCTCTTAAGGTACTTTTGTTTTAGCTGTTTATTTGCTAAGCCTAAACACTATTTTTTTTCCTGACATTTGATGCCCATAGATGAGAGTTCAAGAGATTCTGTCAGTTATTCAGCATGTGAGGGATTATACCGTAGTCCCTCGCTCTCCATGGGGGATTGGTTATAGGACCTCTTCAGATACCAAAATCTGAGGATGCTCAAGTCCCTTACATAAAATGGCATAGTACAGTCAACCCTGTATCTGCGAGTTCCATGGATATGGAAGGCTGACTGCACTGTGCCCTGGGCTGGGCTGGATTCTACTGACATTTGCATTTAATCCTCTTGATAGTCTTTTTGAGATAGGTATTGTTATTAAACCCACTTTTTTACAAGTGAGGAAATAAAGGTTTAGAAGAATTAAGTAATTTGCCCAAGGTTGCGTGGCTTATGAATTTAGCAGAGCCATGACGCAAATCCAGGCCTGTCAGACAGCAAAATCTATACTTTCTACTAATATACTGTACTGTGTTTACCAAGATAATCAGTGATTATACTGTAATATTACTTTACCCTGTTAGCACAGTGGGATGGGAGGTGAGTTCAGTGGTTTGTACTGGATTTGAGAATATGAATTCCGATTCCAGCTCTGTGATTTTGGGTAAGTCATTTAATCTCTCTCGGTCTATTTTGTTCTCCTTTGTTTGAACATTTTTATACCGGAGCAATCACCAGAAGAAACATTTTTGCTCTCTGTCTTCATTTCTATCTATAAAGCACAAATACTGAGGAAAATACTACATACCATCTTGGATTTTAAAATAATGCTTGATTTATATATGTGAGAAATGATTCTTTTATTACAATGTAAGAGTATTTGTACAATATTTGAAGCCTCTTAGTTTATATCTTTAAAATACTTTAGTTTCTAATAGAAAATTTAGTAATTCATGCTGAGTAGAGACGTTTTTGTATGTTTTCTAGCTTTCATGGGATCTTATGTTACAGAGCCTGAAAAGATCATTTGAAGTTTTTGCTCAACTATTAGCAGTATAGTTATCTCTGGAGTTTTTAGTCCGCATTAACTTTACTCTTTTTTGAAATTGGTTTGAACGTTCTGCTTTATATGTTCGTTGTTTAACCGCAGGGATGGTGTCTTAGCCTGCTTTATTGTAACCTCTACATATGCTGTCAGCAAACTAAAACCACATTGCACATACATGGAGTATTTGAGGCCATCATTATCACGTTGTCTTGTGGGCTTTATTTGTGAAAAGTTGTAAATAGCAACATCTTATTTATATTTTATATGGATGGCATCCTCTGTATGAGAATATCTGATAAAAATAGGTAGTAGTTTAGATGTAAGGGTAAATTCTCTTAAGGCCATTTCAGAGAAGTCTCTGATAGTCCTGGATTTGAATAATATTTGAGTAACAGGAAAGAAGTTGTTTTCTAAAGAGTTCCTTTTTAAGCTCTCCAGAAAAGATCAGAATAAGACGACTCAGTTTGAGTCATCTGCTTAAGAATCCTCTTGATTGGGAGTTGAGCTTGTTTGACTGAATGAACTGTTTTGCCTACCTACTTCTTCCTCTTTCACATTCATACTCATTGTACAGGACTTGGAGAGGATTCTTTTTTTTTAACCACTTTATTGAGGTAAGCTGTACATATTTAATGTATGCAACTTGATGAGTTTGGAGGTAAGTATTCATTTGTGAAGCCATCACAATCTATGAAATAAACATATCCATCACCTCCAAAACTTTCTAGCTGGAGAGGATTTTTTTAGCTTGGTATCTTTTATCCATTTCGGGTCAGAAGTGTGCATGAATCTGATGAGTAATTGATGCAGTGTTTCCCTGGTTGTGAACGTGGAACTTGTAGGTTTTCTGAGCATGAAGAGGGCCGCTTAGTCAGATTAGTAGAAAATCAATCAGCAGGTGTAAGTGCTTGTTGTATGCCAGCTATTATTTTAGTGGCTGAGGTTATTCAGCAGTGACGAAAATCCCTGCCTTCATGGAGCTGACATTTGACTGGGAGGAGAGAGGCCAGGAAAAGAAGTAATGTGAGGTTGGAATTTGAGGGTCACTAGTAGGAGGAGGCTGCTGTTGTAAATAGAGTAGCTAGTTAAAGCTTTATTTTAAGGCGACAGTTGAGCAGAGTTTTGAGGTTGATCAGTGAATGAGCCACTTAGGTATCTTGGGGAAGAGCATTCCAGACAGAGAGAGTAGCAAATACCAACTTGAAGTGAACTTGTTTGCCATATTCCAAGGAGTAACTAGGAGGCTGGTGGGGCTGGAGCAGAGAGAGCAAGGAGGAAGAATAGATGAAGTCAGAGAGATTATCAGGTCGAATAAGGCTTTGTAGAATAGCGTAAGGACTCTGACTTTAACTGCAGGAGAAATGAGAAGTCACCGAGGGTTGTGAGCTGCCGAGTGACATGATTTGGTTTGTTTTCAGAAGGTCACTCTGATTGCTCTATGATATTGGGCCAAGAGCAGAAACAAAGACCAGTTAGGAGGCTGTTGTAATAATCTGAGAGATAATGGTGGTTTAGGAGCAGTGGAAGAAATGAGGAATTAGGTTCTGGGTACATTTTGAAGGTAGAGACAACAGAATTGCCTTTTGTTTTACAAGTGAAGTGAGAGACTAAAGAGGACTTGATTACAGACTTTTTGGCCTTAGCAACTGGAAGGATGGAGTGGATATCTGCTCAGTTGGAGAAGACTGCAGGGGAAGCCAACTTAGGGGAAAAGATTAGGCTTTCTGTTCTAGACTTGATTGAGATGCCTAGTAGATTTTCAAGTAGAAATATTGAGTAGGTAGCCGAACATAAGACTCTGGTGGTGAGGGCTCCAAACAGGTTATATAAATTTTGAGGTTAACTTAAAGCCATGAGGCCAGATGAGTTAACTTCACCTAAAAGCCGAGCGTGGATAGGTAAGAGGTTCAGACAAGAGGTTGGAGGTTGTGGTGATGAGTAAGAAGCAGTAAGCAGGCTGACAAATAGGAGCAAGTGGAATAGGAAGAGAAACGAGATTGCAGTGCTTGGAAGGCAGGTGAGGAATCTGTGTCAAGTGGTAGGAGTGATCAGCTCTTTGAATTACTGCCAGAAAGGTCGAGTACGATGAGAAGTGAGACTTTGACTGTTAGATTTAGCAGCGAGGAAGTCACTGGTGACCTTCTCAAGAGTAGTTTCTGTGAAATGGTAGAGATGAAAGCCTTATTGGAGTGGATTCAAGATACGACGGGAAAAATGTGACTTGGAGACAGTGAATATAGAAGTCTTCTCCGTAGCCCTGTGATTTTGTTGTAAATGAAAAAGAGAAAAATTAGGTGGTGCTGGAGTAATATGTGGGGTTGTGAGGATTTGTTCGTTTGTTTGTTTTCAAGATGGGAAACTGGGGGTATTAAATGCAGGTGGAAATTACCTAGCAGGGAGGAAAATTTTGATGATGCTGGGAAGGGAGATTGCTAAAGGGAGGTCCTTGAATAGGTGAGTTGGGATGGGACTAGAGCAATACTTGTTAAACTTCATTTTGTATAGGTATCACCTGGGGTTCTTGCTAAAATGCAGATACGGTTCTGTAGGTCTGGGATGGGGCCTGAAATTCTGCATTTCTAACAAGTCCTTAGATGATGTCTGTGCTATAATTTGAGTATAGAACTTGGCACTTTGAGCACAAGAACTAGCAGGTTATATTGGTATCCAATCAGGTAGGTTAGTGGATATAGCCAGAGTTTGTGCAGTGTCTCTTCAGGTTACTTCTGTTTTTTCAGTGGAACAGGAAGCAATTCATTATCCTAGAGTGGATGGAGGAGATGGTGTAAAATCATCTAGGAAAGTAGAGTCCGTCTAGAAAATTAGGATTGTGAGGTTGTACTAAGGGCCGACTTGTGGTTAGTGGTTATGAATTTAAATTCAGATGGATTGAATATGGTTGTATGTATGTTACTCTGTAGTTGCTTTCAGCTGTGTGGGTACATGTGAGGCGTAGGTGGGCAGTTGGTGTTTAGAATGGCAAGTATTTTGGAGGGGGGGAAGGGGGCAAGTTATTTATGGGTGTATACAAGGTGCTTAGAAATGACGGACCATGGAATCTAAAGTGGGAAAGGAGGAAAATGAGAGAATGCTAGGTTTAACAAAGAAAATGTGTGGTTTTACTGTTTTTTTTTGTTTTTTAATTACAGATCTCCTCATCTTTAATTTGCTAAGGAGCTCTGCAGATCTTCAGGAGAGGAAAATAGTGTTCATGTCCCCAATTTTTTTTCATCAAGGAACCTTTCTGTCTCTCTGAGCTCATATTCTACTAAATAAATTTAGGGAAAATATGTCTTACACTTTTTGGCTAAAGCAAGTATTAACATCAGGGATCATGATTTTATTTAAAGTGGAGGGTTGTGCTGCAGATAAGAAAGGAGGGAGGTGTTAAAAGGATTTGTTAAAAATTTCTTCTATCAGCTCTAAAAACTTATTTTAAAATGTATCCCTTTATTTCTGTTAAAATAGATTGTTAACATCCTTGTAAGTCATGCAGATTTATAATCATAGCCATATAATAAAATATTTACTATATGGACAAATACAGAAAGATTTTCAACCATTGGTTTTTTTTTTTTTTTTTGTCTCTTTCTCTCTTTTGGATATTACAGATGACCATGGATGAAAAATATGTAAACAGCATTTGGGACCTTCTGAAAAATGCAATTCAAGAAATCCAGCGTAAGAATAACAGTGGTCTTAGTTTTGAGGAGCTCTATAGAAATGCATATACAATGGTTTTGCATAAACATGGAGAAAAGCTCTACACTGGACTAAGAGAAGTTGTTACCGAACATCTCATAAATAAGGTATCCAACTTTAAAGGACTGTTGCTAACTATATTGAATCTAGAAGTATTATTTTCAAAGGTTCCAGGAAGCCTATAGAAATAATAATCAATTAGTAGCTATATTATAAAACCTCACTTAAAACTTACCATCAGCTAAACCAGAATTTTTGATAATTGAGAGAAGGTGAAGTTTGTGATCTTTGATAGATATAATCTCGGAAGCAGACTTTTAATTTACATATGCTTGTTTATTAATATGTTAATTACAGATCATTATTTCTTTCTTTAAAATGCTTAATCAGCCCATTTTAGCTTTCTCTTCTTAATATATTTGAAAATAATAAGACTACATTGTTTAAAAAACATTGTCTAAGTCTTTTCACCAAATGAAATTAACTTTATATAAATTTTTTAAGATAAATTAGTGTTGGACTGTTAACATTATAAAATGGTTCTTTGGTTCCAAAAAGATGTATTTGTTTTTTTAGAGCAAATGTTTTTATAAAGCAGACTCTTCCACTGAAAGTATGTCTTGCTTTAAGATTGTCAGATAAGATGTAAAATACCACAGATAAATAAAAACTTCTCAAAATTTTTGTGTGGTATTAAGGTATTTGTTTTTTAAACTTTATTTTGAAAAAAATGGAAAGTTGCATCAGTAGTACAATGATTTACCAGTTGTCAACATTTTGCCACATTTTAGCCAGTCTTTCTATTGGTACTTGTTATTACTGTTACTGGTATTATTATTATTGCTGGACAGTTAAGAAAATAAGTTTTAGATTCATTTACTCTTAAATACTTTGGAATGTTTCTCCTAAGAACAAGGAAATTCTCTCACTTAACCAAAGAACAATGTTCAAAATCAGGCAGTTTAACATTAATATAAAACTGTTATCTAATATGGTCCACATTCAAATTCACCAGTTGTCCTGTGTGGAGGTGATGTCATTTATAGCAGTTCGTTTTCGGATCCAGGATCTAATCCAGGATCACACACAATTCCTCAGCCTTTCTTTGTCTTTCAGCACATTGACATTTTTGAAGAGTATAGGTCAGTTGTTTTGTAGATTGTCCCTCAGTTTTTGGTTTGTCTGATTGTTTCCTCATGACTAGTTTCAGGTTATGCATTTTTGGCAGGAATAATACATAAGTGATGTTGTGTCCTCAGTGCATCACATCAGGAGGCACATGATGTCAGTTTATCCCATTATTGGTGATGTTAACTTTGATCACTTGGTGTCCGCCAGATTTCTCCACTGTGAAGGTACCTTTTTTCCCTTTGTAATTCATAAGTAATTTGTTCAGATATATTTTGAGACTGTATAAATATCCTGTTCCCCAAGAAACTTTCATGTGATGGTTTTAGCATCCATTGATGATTCTTGCATGAATCATTATTGCTACGATGGTTACAATATAGTCACTTTCTATTTCTACTCTTCCTTCTGTAATTCTTTTCTCTTAAATGGGATTACTTGAGCAGGTAGCTAGTATCTCATGAAGCAAGGTGATTATGTTCTTCATGCATTCAACAGTTTTTTGTTAAGTGCCTGCCATGTACAGCTTTCTAAGAAAATCTAGTAGATGCAAAGAGATATGATGCTGTCCCTTCCTAGGTTTGTTTTTGCTTTTATTCTGATGGAGAGATGATACACACATTTAGGTAACAGTGTGAGGCATTATATAATTCAATGGCAAATGAGTTGTATGGGCAATAAATGGCTTAGGAATTCAAATGAGGGAGAGATTACCCTGGGCTGTAAGATTTCATGGGAAAGGATGAAATTGAACCGAGCCATGAAAAATTTGGGATATAAGTGAACAATGTGGAAGGTGTTCCAGGATGGCAGATGTCACACGATTATACAGAAATAAACTTGGATGATAAGTAGAGTTTGACTGAGGTGTATAATAATTTATGGGGATTAGTGGGGTATAGTGTTGCAAAGTTGGTTTGGGCACAGATTGGAGAACTTCAATGCCAAGCTAAGGAATTTGGACTTTACAGTGGAGGTTTATTGGAGGTTTTTAAGTGGATGATAATGTGACAAAATATTTTAAGAAGATTAAGATGAGAATGATATAAATATAGAAAGGGGGGGATGTGTGCTATAAACAGAAGACCTTGAAAAATCTACGTTAAGGTGATAGGCTAGAAATGAGTGGATGATGTCAGAAATTCTGAAGACCAGGTAGAATTTGGTTACTGGGAGAATTATGGTGCCACCAATAGAATTATTGTGAACTTATAGTGGAAAACTTACTTGGAATGCGTAGAGGAGATGACAGATTCTGTTTTAGGTTATATTGGAAATTTTTATAGTTAGAAAGCACCTTAAAAATCATTTTACATGTGATAAAATTTGAGTGTGAGATTGTAATAAGATGTCCAAGTAAAAATATGATGTGTTTGGAGATATACAGGTTCAGAGCTTGGGCAGGAACTCAAAACTGGAGATGCAAGATCTGACATTTGGTAGCATGTACTGAGGAATATGTGTTGGAGTGCAGAAAATGAAAATCCCAAAGCCAAGGGATGTCATCTTCAAAAGCAAACTGTGGTAAATAGGTGTGGGAAATGAAGACTAATTTAAGAAACTTGACATCAAAAGAAGGAAGAAAAGTAGAGTGGGGGAGTTTTGCCTAAAGCGGTTGAAGAGGAGAAGATTGGAGCAACTGAATTTTTGGGTATGGAGAGAGTGTGGAATTGAGAGAAGTGAAGGTAGAAGAGGGGCATGTTCTCATTTGCCAGAGGTTCTATAGGGTATGATAATAATATCCCCAGCTAACTCTTATTTAGCATTTACTGCGTGCTGGGTCCACTTCTAGTGCTTTTAGATGTATTCACTTACGTAATGGTCACAACCCAATGAGCCAGATACTACTATTATCTCTATTTAAAAGTGAAGAAACGGAGGGCACAGAATTGGTGATTTGTCCAGATGCATGTAGCTAGTAAGTGGCCTAGCTGGAACAGTATTGAAGTAGTGCGGCTTCAGGCCGAGTCCTTAACTTTTCTATAAATCTGCTCCTGAGGCATAATGAATGGATCAAGATGCAGTAAATATATGCTGAAATTGAGGGTGCATGTGGGGTTTTAGGGAAATCGGTTCAGTTTTTGTAAAGCTATAGTCCTTTAAACTTTAGTTCTTGGTTTATTTATAATTAAAATGAAGGAGTTGGCAGTAATATCTTTGAGATGCTTTAGTTCTAAGACTATCATGAATCTAATAATTAAGCAGTGCAAGTTCTGAAAATGAGATGAAGAGACTTGGAGTAGCTCCTGTGGGGAATATACTAAGGAACTGGCAAGTGAGGAAAGAGATAGCTCAGTAGGAGTTGTCCTGAATGTGTGATCTATCGTGTGTGTTTTTTTTTTTTTTTAAGCAGTGCTTTGCAGCTTGGGCACAGATGCAGAAAAAACATTTGTAGTTATTTGGTTTGGTTGAGAATCGGCTCTTTCAAAAAGTGAAGAGTGGAGGGGAAGCCAGAGTGTGAGGTCAGTGTTGATGTGATTGATATTTGGACTGAAACATGGTTAGGTAGAAATTGAAGTCATGTGAACGATAACTCCATGGTAACTGTAAGAGCTTCAGCATATTGTTAAGTCTCTTAAAGTGGTCCCATATCTAAGATTAACTATCATTTCAAAATATAGGCATTTCCCTATAATATATTCCAGAGAACATGTATTCAAGTTGATTATGCTAAAGAATTACAAAGTGTATATGCTAAACTTTTATTTCTCTTACAGATGTTAATGATATATCAACAGCATCTGAAAATATTCTTTAATTTTTTTTTTCTTTCACAAATACTCATTTGACCACCTTAAGCTAGTCAATTTCTGACTAGGGGATGTACCATTGTCAGCATATCTAATGATTGATTTCTTTATTTAAATTAAGTTTTTGAACCTCTGCTAGTATCTGTGCTTTCATTTTTGTGTTTTCCATTGATCTTATTTCACTTTTACTCTTATAAGACACTTTAAAAAGTCATACAAATACGGTACTGTCTGAAGGGGACACTGTTAAAGGAAGTCTGTTAACTGACAGGGCCATCATACAGTAGACCAAAATGTTTGTCCCCTGATGTCGGAAGTCTCCATTTGTTTACTAGATGGGACTTAGGGATGTTTTTGATCTAATGTGCAGAAATATAGTTTGCCTGGAAATCAATATTGCCTGTCTCTACATTGCACCTTCTGACTGGAAGGTAAGAGAGTGGTTTAGGGTTCTGTGGTATCAAAGTAACTGTCTCAGTCTCACAGAATATATCCCTTTTTATGGTTCTGAAAGCATTCCTATGTGGTCCACTCCTCATTTTTTTGTTTACTATGCTTTTAGCAGTTAGCTGAACTGACTAAGTAATAATAATATATTTTTTAAAGCAAAGTTATTTTCGACTGAAGTGAACCTTTTAGTGCTATGGTATAGACAGCCAGGACCTATCTTTTCACATTGAAGAATTCAGAGGAAATACAATTTTTTCATGGAATCAGAGTTCGTTGGTACTCCGATTTCAAGATGAGAATAGTGAACATTTTGAGGAACATTTTTGGTAAAGCAGAGTGGTATTAACTACAAGAGGGCAGCTCATGGGGGGATAGTTCTTTGCAATGAAAGTAGCTGATAATGGGCTTTGGAAATAAGTTTACAGAATTGAAGCAGGCATAGAAAAGCTAAATGCTGTTTCTCTTTCTTAGTAGTATATTCTTCCTATCTCTAGAAGAATGTTTCCCCAAGAAACTGAGACCCAAAGGAATTCAGTAAATTTCTCAAGACCACAAAGCAAAACTTAGGGTGTGATGTGGCCTTTGCGCCTTGTCATTAAAAAAAATTCTTGTCTTATTTAGTAAATATGAAGACATTTCAGAATTCACAGGGATTATTTTCTTCTAAGTCAAATACCTTTAAAAGTATGGTTATGTTGGAGAAGAAAAGTTCTGCCACTTTCCAGTTTTTAGGATTTTTAAATTACAGGTCATTTTATCAGCCTCAAAAGTATCCCTAT